AAGCCCATGGTCCTTCGACAACTTAGCAACTGTAAAAAAAATCTCTATCAATTTAACACGTAGGCTTTCGCGACCAATATTATTAATAATAAACGTTTTTGGGTTAGATCGCGTTATTTATAAATGTGTCGTAACCCTCCACCACCCGACACGGCCAATCAGCAAACAAATCAATTTGGTTACACTATTTTGATAAAGTTTCTTGTGATGGTCTGTGAACTGAAACGTTTTATAAGCAGATGACTTGAACAAGAAATTATGCCCGCTCACTCCAGAAGATGTTGACATTCATGATTAACCGTGGTTTAATCCAGTGGTTCTTAACCTGGGATGCGCGCACTCCCTGTGGTGCGAGATGCCCTTTCTGAGAGCCAAATGGGTGCAGGCTGCAGTAAAGGTTAAGAAACACTGGTCGAATCCAACACTGGATGAAGGCCTCCCCAAACTATCACCATCTCTTAAGGTCCGACAATGCGATAATACACCTCCGATTAGTACGGTTGGCAACCTACGGTGCGATAGAAATGAAACATACGTACATACACCAGCACCTGCACACGAGCTGATTTTCACTGCTGAATCTTCTCGATGGACATACTGTCATACGCGTTTCATTCTTTAGCTAATGGGCATATGTTAATACGGTATTACCAAGTGAATTTCTACACCTTAGGTATGTCCATTTCTCCTAAATATGCTAAAGTGGTTCGTGGGCAAAAAAAAAAACTAAATAAATAGTGCTGGGGAAGTGTCCACTATCTTCACACCTTCGTACTTAGTATTGGTAAAAGTAAATGATATAAATCATCCAACTGTAGAAACATTTTTATTCCTGCAAATTGAAAAACAAATATTGCCCATTTTCACAAGCACCATTGTCTAAGCAAGTCACATGTTTGTATAGGGAGCTTCCATATTTCTTTGGGATGTTGACACACTTATGTAGATAAATTATTAATATTATGCTCGTTTTCCGAGGAAAGCCTCATTTCGTCTCATGCTATTTTCAGGAAGGTCCTGCCGTAGCGGGCGATGATTGCAATAATGTACGTTCAAAATGAGTAATTTCCAGGTACTTTTTCAAATTTGGCAAGCATGTATATGTACAGTATTTTCTTTTAACGAGATGAGAACTCAAGAGACCAGGATATAGTCTTATTTGCAAGAGTGACCTGAGGCATTAGTCTGCCAGTAGGGGGTAATGATTTATGCTGCTGCATGTGTCTCTCTCTCTAGCGTATGGTAAATATGTGCAAATCACACGTTCAAGTTTTTGTATGTGAGCCAATGCGATTGCTTCAGGAGTAGCGTGATTAATACTGCGCTGTCCGCCGGAGAGCGGGTGTAGAATGCAGACAATGGACAATATTTTCTTGCTTCTTTCGGTAAAGTTACGTGACTTTACCGAAAGAAATAAAATATTTGATTTAATTTTAATTTTATTATTTCCCTTCTACGTGACTTTACCGAAAGAACCAATAAGATGAATCCCTGCAGTCACGAAAGCTTTAAATCAAAATTTAATTAACAATATTGTCTGCAATATTGTCCATTGTCTGGTTCGGGTGGCCGCAGTCAGACTGTGGGTGTTCTGAAACGGTTGATGGAGCGCCATAGTTTTATTGGCAGATCAAGGCAGTGCATAGCAATCGTGGGGTCGTTGACGAGGCTTTTATTTGGAATGTCCACAGAATTCCACAGTGTTTGCCAGCGGTCTTCAATCCATCCAGCTTCATCCAATTGTCTCGCATGATCCCAGATTGGTTTCCGGGATTTCAAACGAGTCCGTGAAGGGTCAAGCAGGTCTTGTTGTAATGGTAAATGTACAAAATTCAGTGATTTGCGGGTAATTTTCTAATTTTGAACCCTGATGCTGGCACATTGGCCTACTTTTACGAATGGCGCATATTATTATGGTCGTGAAACACCCGCAGTAATGATCAGGGCGGCCGCTGGACCCTAAAAGCGTGTCTCTATGACAAGTGGCAGGACGCCCTACCGCTAGGCAATGTAATAATTTCCAAGAGGTGGGTTTATTTTGTTTACATAAAAAAGTGCTGAGCTTTATATGCTCTGCACAGAGTGAAAGATTGAGATACAATTGTAGATGAGAGTAAAGCAGAGTTGATTTAGCAAAGACCTTGATGCCCAGACTAAATATTTGCTGGAGGCAAATGATAGGAAAATGTTTAGGATTCCAGAAACCAACGGCACTGCACGGTATAGATTTTTTTTTTACGGACGTTTGAACATCCGTGTTGAGAAGAATGTGTAATGTCAATCCTACAATGGCCGTGTTGAACGGCTTGAAGTTTTCCAAAGCGATATGTGTTTTAAAGTGTTTTGGGACGTAAAGAAAAACCCGGGTTGAACAACACTGCACACACATTTTAGTTGGTCGAGCTAAATTTTTCAACCAGGATTTGTAATTTCTGTAATTCAGTTTGAATAAACTCAACTCAATGGTCATTACCACCAGTCTTGAGTCAGCAACATGAACACCACCCTTGTGAGCTACACTAGATTGGTAAATCAGCAAGCAAATGGAAGAACAATCACTGCCATTATGGTGTGGAATTTCCACCACGAGCTAAAAAAAATGGCATTGTTCGGTGCTTGTGTGAGTTAACTCATTGATAAGCACATGGAATTGCAATTGTATTGTGGTTTACTGAACAGCGTGAGTGCCATTTTGCGAGAATCGATTACCGTAATCGTTACTGGACTTTGGTAATAAACCATTTAACAGGGGAGGCCAACCCGTTTCTCGGCTTATAGGCAAGCGAGTTGCCAGTGTGGTTCAACATCACTTTATTTGAAAAAGGATGTATGCAGGAGCAAGGAATGGCAAAGGGCACTTGCTCCTTGAATGTAGCCGGACAATACCCTCTAAATTAAAAACTCCACCGCCAACCAGCATCGGGCAAGCGGGCTGGGTGTGTGCCCACCCTAAGTGACCACCCCACGCGAATATGTTGGTAAGCGGCTAATAGGGTAAGGGAGTTTGTAGCCACCCCTGTCACAGGGCACTATTTATACGAATTAAAAACAAGTCATATTCTTGTGCCTTATATATGACAACAGGAGCTGGCACAAGCCCTTTAGTGAGGTCCTTAAAATAGCTCTGTCACTCGAGAACCACGTGACATTGAAGTGCAAGAGATGACCAATTTTGTTGATTCCACGTATCGTTTCACGTTACCTTTATAACAGTGAATCTCTCCACTTCCATGAGTTACTATTCAGTAAATACTGTATTATTGAGGTTGGTGGAATTTAATTTGGTAGCCAGTGATTACAAATGTATTTGGTCATATATTTGAGCAAAGCAAACTGCCTATGCTTTGTTAACATAACTGAGAAGCTGGTTATGTCACTCGAGTTATGCTTAAACAAATGTTGAAGTTGGCTAAGATTTTAACTCGTTTTTGTCTATGCCCAATTCACCTGGAATGCGGCCCAACCTCGTCAGCCGTCAGAAGGTAACCATAATTTAGCCTGGATACCATTATGCATACCCAAATGTTATACTGGTAGGAACCCACTGGTTCCACCAGCCCACAGGGGATTATTGTGACCGTCCGTCGTGCAGGGAGGGGCTGGGTGGGGAGGGGAGGGTAGGGAGGGGCTGGGTGGGGAGGGTGGGGCTGGATGGGGAGGGTGGGGCTGGGGGAGGGGTGGGGAGGGGCTGGGTGGGGAGTGGCTGGGTGGGGAGGGTGGGGCTGGGTGGGGAGGGTGGGGAGGGGCTAGGTGGGGAGGGTGTGGAGGGGCTGGGTGGGGTGAGTGGGGAGGGGCTGGGTGGGGAGGGGCTGGGTGGGGAGGGTGGGGAGGGGCTGGGTGGGGAGGGGCTGGGTGGAGGGTGGGAGGGGCTGGGTGGGGAGGGGCTGGTCACCCCGTGGTGCCCTTATAAAACTCAACGTTTAACCTACTCACGCCGGCTTGTGCCCGCCCTCACAGTCGGGCATATTTGCGGAATACACCACGCCGCCGTTGACCCTGGCCATTGACCGAGCAACCCAACGTTCCTACCAGCTCCCTCCGCAGGAATGTGTTATATAAATGCGGAGTCCATGTGGTGTGAAGGAAAGGGCAGTCCAGCAGCGTTTGTGCTTTCCGCCATAAATTCCCACTAACTCCACTTGACCACGAGTCTGACCCACACACTCATTCTGTGCCCTCCTGTTAGTCAGTCCCTGCAAACCGCATGGCGTGGCAAGACCCTCATACAAGCAGGAGTTGGACCGTGTCCAGGTTTGTTGTACATGCTGCAAATTACTAGATTCTAATGTACAGGATACTGATTCATTTGAAAAAACTAAAATTGGCAAGGGGGTAAAAGGATGAGTGATCTTATAAAATAAAAAACCCAAATGCTAGCCTCAATTTGCTAACTATATAAGCGAAAAGGTTCGCTTAGCAATTGGGAGGTTGTGTGGGTAACAGGAGGGCGCAGAACGAGTGAAGGCATTGAATGGGGTGCAAGCCATAAATTCATTAATGCCGTATGTTTGTCTCTCCAAAATGCATCAACTAATTCGGAAGCCTTCCTTACGGTGCTAAACATGCAAAAGTACGATCCCGAAACTCAGTTTTTGCGGTTAGATGCCGATGGATTAACTTTGCAAGTGAAACGGGCAAAACACGAGCGACTTTAAAGCGTAAAGTGACCGGACCCCCTGATCACGTGTCCCGCCCCCCCAATCCAAACAACACGCCCCATGCCATAACCATCCGCGCATCTCAGTGAAAACACAACACTCAATATTTACAACGTCAACAAAAAACCCAACACAACAATCGAACAATGGCTGTATACGCATCAGACGTCACTATCCACGATTACCTGTGTTATTCATAACAACAAAACAAACAAACATTTAAACATTTGCGCGCGCACTTTTTGCGCGAACTCTTTGCGCAGCGGCGGCGCGATACGGGGTGATGGGGCGTGCGTGACGCGGCCGTTTTCGCGCCACTTTGCCGTGACGCGCGTCGCGCAGTGCACGCCGGGTAGAGGCGTGAAGGCGGCGCCGTCGGCGGCTCTCGCGTTCGTTAAAGAGGTGCGAATTTTACTTTTTTAAATCCGACAAACTCGCCTCACTCTACCCACCCCGCATCCATCTCTCCTCGTTTACACGCTTATGTAGAAACGACGGCGCTCGTTAAAACGTCGCTCGGCAATAAACAATGACGAAAAGCGAGGATGAGAACGCCGACGAGGGTGGCGGCGGTGGTGGCCGCAATGGCGTGCGGGACAAGTTCGAGGAGCTGTGTCAGGACCTGAACATGGACGAGTCGACGGTGCACGAGGCGTGGGCCGGCTTCGAGAAGATCCGCACCAACTTCACCCTCGAGGTCAGCGCGGGGGGGCCGTCAAAGTGAAGGACTCGGGGAGTTTCCCCCACACCACCCACACCACAACACCGAGGAGAGGGCTCCTCGCTTGCCGCCCTGGGAGTCGGGGATGCGGGCGAGGGCTGCGTTCCCTGGCGCCCGGGGTTACGGTGGTGGCGGCGATGGGGGGGCATGGTTAGAGTTGGGGGGCATGGTGGGAGTTGGGGGGCAGGCATGGTGAGAGTTGGGGGGCATGGTTAGAGTTGGCAGGCATCGTTAGAGTTGGTGTGGCATGGTTAGAGTTGGTGGGGCAGGCATGGTTAGAGTTGGGGGGCATGGTTAGAGTTGGGGGGCATGGTGAGAGTTGGTGGGGCATGGTTAGAGTTGGGGGGCATGGTTAGAGTTGGGGGGCAGGCATGGTGAGAGTTGGTGGGGCATGGTTAGAGTTGGGGGGCATGGTTAGAGTTGGTGGGGCAGGCATGGTTAGAGTTGGTGGGGCATGGTTAGAGTTGGGGGGCATGGTTAGAGTTGGGGGGCATGGTTAGAGTTGGGGGGCATGGCATGGTTAGAGTTGGGAGGCATGGTTAGAGTTGGGGGGCATGGTTAGATTTGGTGGGGCAGGCATGGTTAGAGTTGGGGGGCATGGTTAGAGTTGGGGGGCATGGTTAGAGTTGGGGGGCATGGTTAGAGTTGGGGGGCAGGCATGGTGAGAGTTGGTGGGGCATGGTTAGAGTTGGGGGGCATGGTTAGAGTTGGTGGGGCAGGCATGGTTAGAGTTGGTGGGGCATGGTTAGAGTTGGGGGGCATGGTTAGAGTTGGGGGGCATGGCATGGTTAGAGTTGGGAGGCATGGTTAGAGTTGGGGGGCATGGTTAGATTTGGTGGGGCAGGCATGGTTAGAGTTGGGGGGCATGGTGAGAGTTGAGAGGCATCGTGAGAATTGGTGGGGCATGGTTAGAGTTGGGGGGCAGGCATGGTTAGAGTTGGGGGGCAGGCATGGTGAGAGTTGGGGGGCATGGTTAGAGTTGGGAGGCATGGTTAGAGTTGGGAGGCATGGTGAGAGTTGGGGGGCATGGTTAGAGTTGGGGGGCATGGTTAGAGTTGGGAGGCATGGTGAGAGTTGGGGGGCATGGTTAGAGTTGGCAGGCATGGTTAGAGTTGGGGGGCATGGTTAGAGTTGGGAGGCATGGTGAGAGTTAGGGGGCATGGTTAGAGTTGGGAGGCATGGTTAGAGTTGGGATGCATGGTGAGAGTTGGGGGGCATGGTTAGAGTTGGGGGGCATGGTTAGAGTTGGTGGGGGCTGTGAGTGGTGGAGGTGATAGTAGGAGTTAGGGGTCGAGTTTGAGTGGTAGAGATAGTAAGGGATTATGTTTAGGGGTTATGAGTGGTGGTTAGACTTCTATGAGTAGTGTTGGGGGCATATGGGTGGGAAGTGTGAATTAGATGAACAGTAGAAACGTGTATGGGTTTGTTTATGGGATTGTGCACGTATAAGTATAGGTTATGGGTAGATAAGGAACAGGGGGGGCGGTATGGGTTAAGGTGTATTTAGGGATATTATATAGTGTGGATATGGGTTCGGGTAGGAGATAAATGGGGAAGAGAGGGGACATTTGGGATTGGGAATGGGTATGGTTATTGCTTAGGGGTATGGGAAGTGGGGTGGCAGGGGTATGGTATTGGTAAGTGGACAAGGAAGGAGGGTATGGGTTGCGGTGTATTTAGGTGTAGTGTATAGTGTGGATATGAGTTCGGATAGGAGAGATATGGGACATTTGGGATGGCTAGGGTTATTGCTTAGGGGTATGGGAAGTGGGGTGGCAGGGGTTATGTGTAAGGGGATAAAGACAGCAACTTGGGAAGGGGTGAGGGGGTACTAAATGTCGCTGTGTTATTTAATGCCGGGTGTCAAGCTGCCGAATGAGCTAAACCTAAGGAGGGTTGGGGGGATATTCCATATTTCTGTGGCGAGTGTAGTTGATGCAGTGTTTGTGTTATTTACTGCAGGGTGGTGTGCGACCCACTCCGTGGGGAAGCCTTCATCCAGCAGTGGAGTGACTTTAGGAACATGACGTGTTTTGCCGTCCACTAAGGTTGTGGAGCGTTTTCCTGCTGAATTGAGTGACGGGCTAATTGGCCCCTCTGCTCAGTCCTTCACGCACTGACCACCTCTGTTCAACCAGTGGACACTCCACGTTTGTGTGGCAAGAGCAGTTATTGATTGTGTTACTGCTTATACACGTGTGATTTGCTTGCATTGTGCTGGTAGGTTGTATTACAGTTGCGAGTCTTTAAGTTATAGTACGGTACTTTTATGCATTAAGTTATTTTGCAAAGGCTTTTCATATTTCCCATGATGCGCTTTTCAGCAGGACTTAATCTGGGTGCTATTTAGACGCTTACAGATGTTAAGATGTCAGGGTTTGTACGATAAATGGATGCGCGTAAACCAAAAACATTGTATGCTATCTTGACGTTAGCGTATATGTTTGAAAACTTACATTTGCTACCTAATGCAAATCAAAATAATTGACGCCCTTAATGCAGGAAAACCCCAAAACTCTGCATAGATAGATTCAGTAATTAGCCCTAGCCTCCAACCCATTATATTCCCGTGCAATTAGTCATACGTGAAAACTGTTTTCCGCAGATACAAAGTAACTACGTAAATTGGCGAAACATCCCAGTTTAATCTCATTTCAATGAGGAGCAGATCCCTAAATAGTGCAAGCAACGCTGCGCTTGGTGTCCACGGTAAGTTAATTCAACACTTAATCCGCTGCACGGTGGGGAGCCATGACGCGTACCCTTTTAAAGAGCCCGGCCCTTTAAAAGTCTGAGCCCCACTCTCGCGTTCATATCAATGGTCAGGACGAGTCTGAACCTGCGCGCCGGGACTGGAGCCCCACGCCGTTGCCCAGTGACTGCCGAGTCGCGGCTCCACGTGGGGTGCCCTCTATCCATCCACCCCATGGGGCCAGGCAAGAGGCTGCCACCACCACCGTTCTCACCGTCTCAATCGCACGCGTTGCTGTGTTGTGGCGGTTGTTTGTAACGCCAGCAAGCCACGTTACCCTACCTCCCTGGCAGCGTCCCTGGAGGAGGGTCACGCTTGAAACCACCACCAAGGTGTTCTAGGCGTGTTATACAGCCCGTGATTTGAGTGATACAAACAAGGCTTGGGGAGGGGGATGTGTGGCATCCCGATTTGACTTCAATCCCCGAAGGCGCCTATCAACACAGCGCATTCAGTGCAATTGTCATCATTATCCGTCATTGTCCATCAGCTGCAGGTCGAAAGCCCTCCCATGTCATCTCTTAAGATGCAGTGCTACCACCTTGCGTCTCACTCCTGCACATGAACCGATCTCACCTACAACTCAGCGGTGGTCCTCTGCTTTTGCTGCCATACCTTAATAGCGCTGGGTAAATTTACCGTTACGATACCGACCTTCCACGGTAAAATAAAATTGCATTCAATGTCAAACCAACACAAACTGCGAGCAATGCTTTTGTTTGAACAGGGACGTCATAATACTGGCAGGTCAGTTTATTGACCTTTAGCCAGATGGAAAATGGTTTGCAGGATGGAGCTTGGTACCCAATAATACACTGAATGAAAACAGGAAGGTTGTTTTCAGAATTAAATGTTGAGTTATAACTTAAAGTGAGTGTTATATCAGAATATTCTTGGTAATAGATGTACATGTACAGCCCGTTTGATGGCCTGTCCGTGCCGTTGAGGCAGTGAGAATCATTTAAACATACTGCACTATGTTATACAATGCGGTTTTGTGAAGGTGGGGAGAATACAGAACAGCGTATTTTGCTGCACTGCCCGCGATGCATACTGCACCGTTGTTGTGCCTGTTATTCACCCACCTAAGTGCGATCCAGGTTTAAATCTGTTTTATCCAAGGTCTGATGGGATTGGGCACACATTCTGGGTAATTGGTCATCAGGCTAATTGGCATTGAACAACAATTTGGCTTATTAGCCAGAAGGCTCCAATATACCACTCCATGAGATATTATACAGTTTGGTTTTAAACTACAGATGTGACTTGATTGTATAGTCCCATGTATAGTTTGTTAAAACGGTAATTTTCGCTAATTATGTGATGCTGCATTGGAGATGGTGCATCAGCACAATTAACAAAACAACTCAAAAAGCTCAACAACGATACCTCTTAATTGCAGGTTTTTTGGATTAGATTGGGTAAATATAAATGTGTCATTAAACCTGCCACCACCAATACTATTATTAATGTTTGCCACGTAAACAGGACATGCCAATTTGTTACTAGTACAGCACACTGGTGTATTGGAGAGCAAATCTACAACATTTACAATCTGAGTATAAAGTTTCGCCAGTAAAAAGCCTACCTGTTAAACGCTACCTTAAATAAAGTAAAAGCATTGGCGAAGTCTCGAGTAATGTCCCCTTATAGCACATTAGGAAGCAATTAGGTTCTCCTGCTTTGTTTTATTTTTATATTTAGATTACTTGCAATCAAAAAATACCTGCAACAACTTTCATGTTGTTAAATTAGTGAAGCCATCATTCGTATACAGGTTGGTCTCTTTTGCAAATATGACATTGGCCATGATTTGCATCTTGGTGTTAACCAAAAACCACCAGATTTGTCGGTTAACCAGTGTGCCCACCGGTGAAATGCCTTCACCGCCAGAAAAACGGCAAGTAAAAAAGCATTTCAGCGATAAGGGGAAAAAATGGCCCCTGTTTTCATATCAGGTTGATCATGCTGTCAAGGGGGTGGCTTTGATTGGTCTAAAAAAGTGGAATAATTAATCGATGAAAGCTGCTGTGAAGTTGATGCCATTGGGTTGAGATTGATAACTATAAACTATTGTTTTATGTTCTATTTCAAATTTACTGTTTAGTTCGTGTATTCATATGCGACCGTTTGTTAGCTGGTTTAACTTGACTTTTAACTGCAAATAGAACATGAATACAAGAATAATTTATTTTGTGGTGATGTTGTTTACATTTCTATTTCGCACGTTTCTGTGTTTCATTGCGTAGGAACCATTGCATTACAGAGGCATTGTATAGGCAGATCTCGCTTGGCGCGATCCCATAAAACGCTGATTCATTATGGCGTGCTTTGTCCTGGAGACCATTTTTACAAAAAACATATACCTACTCTTATCTAACCAGTACATTACTTTGGAGTGAGAACAGACAGCAGGACTGGGCGAGGAAACGTACCTGCCCCCACCATTCGCTCAACCCATGAGAGCGACACTCTGAGCCAATGAGTTCCCCACACCCTGCAATTGGATTATTACGATTCGTCGTCACAATTACATAAAAAATCGCTTTGTTTAGTCAGGTGAGAACTCAAGAGACAAGGATAGAGTTTCAGGGTCCACCTAAAAGAAACGTCGCCGCGGACATTAAGAACTGAGGGCATTACTAAGATCACGGAGGTCTTGGAGCTCTTCTCTGAAAATGACCTGGATTGCGAGCGCAACAGGTCCTCAAACCTTGTCTCCCACCTCTGCTTTGTCGTAGAATGCACTCGTGAGTACAGTACATAATAGCGACGTTATAATTAATTATGTTATTAAGTAATGTTTACTATCTATTATTATGAGCGCTGCTTCCGATAGCCATTGAAACCGTTATATTTTGCTCATACGAAATAAATAATTCTGTCCGGAACGCATCCTCATATATGAAACGGTATAATGACCCCTTTTTGTGATGAATTAATCTGCACTCACTTCTCCAGGAATGCATCTTGAGCACTAAGCGAGGTCTGCCTGTATTTGCAAAATGTGAAATTCTGTCTTCATCTATTGTGCAAAATGTATAAGTCTGGGTCAACTCAACTCCAGCCTCAGAGCAATAATGAATGTGAACGTTTGAGTTGTGTTGGCATCCTAATAATGGTTAATTCAGTATGCAGTTATTTCCAACCGTCGTATAATGACATTCACATCACATACAGGGCGATGAGCTGCACTGGCTGGCATGCGCGCTGTATGTGGCATGTCGCAAGACGCTCATCCCCACCGTGGGCCGGGGAACGCTTGAGGGAAACTGCGTGTCTCTGACGCGCATCCTGCGCTCCTCCAAACTAAGGTACGGGCGGCGTTGAGAGCCAGCATTATGAACTCGAACTCGGTGTTCGTTCATTTTTCACTTCTGTTATGCAGGTTTCTGTGTTTCATTGCATCGGAGCCAATTAAGTCCCCTTTAAGGTTTACATTGCTAACCGTAGAATAAGATCCGTCATTACTCTCATACTGGGCCTGTAGAAACTATTTCTGATGACTATATTTACACCACTCTAGATTCCTACAACTATACATTCTACATGTACCACAATGGCAAAACATTTTTCTTGAATCACATTGTGACCCGAATCGTGGTATTTCCTTGAATCATTACATCCCTGTTTTGGACGTATCTCTATTCTCGTGTTTCAGCGTGACCATAAGAGTTGCGTAAAATTATTTGTTGTGTGGGATGTATGAGGGCCTTGTTCAGGGTGTCCCAGTGGCACTGAGGGAGTTTGCTGGCAATACGTCCGGTGTTCAGTGGAGTGCTGCGGTTGATGCTTTTAAATGCTTTTTTTAATTATTTTTCCCCCATGGCTCCATGCATGCAAGCGCTGGCATAACCACATTCAAAAACAGTTTTTTACAGTTATAAAACCCAGTTTTTATAGTCAGTTGCTCCTGCTCACAGGGTTCAATTTAAAGTGAAATGTGACCTTAATCTCAACCATTTTCAAACGACCCCTTATCTGGACTGAAGAAGATCCATTAGTTCACAGTTGCGTAATGACAGTAACGGAACTCAGCTTTTAATGATTATTTTCTCTGCAAACAAAGTAAACCGTTATACAACCACAGTTGATTTCCCCCTGCGTGGTACTCATATCATCGACTGGAGGATGATACGCTATGTGGCTCTCAGACTAGGATCTGAAGTTGCAATCTTACAAAATCGATTTGAGGACTTTTCCACATAATTCTCTGGCCATGTAAAATATCTACCTGCAACTTATCATAGGTGATGTTGGTCAGAGAATCGTGGTTATGCAGTCGCGCATGCTTATGGGGCCTGGGAGGTGAAGAAAAAGGCTGAGTCTCAGGTGGGGACGACGCCCAGGTGCCTGGTCCTGCCGCCCCCACCCCACGCCCACTCTGTCCACAGCCTCATCGCCTTCTTTGGCAAGATGAAGAAGTGGGGGGAAATGGCGCAGGTGGGCTCCGATTTCCGCTGTCGCATCGAGCGCTTGGAGAGAAACTTTGCCGTCTCCACTGTCATCTTCAAGAAGCTGGAGCCCATCTTCCTGAGCCTGTTCCGCGACCCACAGGACGAAGCACCACGTCAGCCACGTGGGCGCAAGCAGAGGTTAGCACGGCCATGGCTTTACTTGTTTGAACACTGCTTGTCGTTTTGTGCATAAGGGAGAATGCTGCAAAAAATATCACGAAGCGCTTTAACTGTTGGGTGTTTGGGGGTTTTTCTCGTTGTTCGGGATGATGTCCGACGATTCGCGGTAAAAGCCGAATGTCGGAGCACTGTACAGCACAACTTTAAAATTCTCCAATGTCAAATAGCTCATATTGTAGATAAATACCTAGACTGTGCATCGGGATGTGCAACTCAAATAGAAAGCTTTGTTAATGAGTATAGATGTAAAGTAACTTTCAAGGTCATAATTATGGATCCCTTGTGACATCACCATCATTAATCCAATGTCATTGCAAGGATGTAACTGAGCGGCTGTCCATGTTTTAAATGGCTATTGTCACAAACAAAACTTCAACATTTGTGTTGGGAATCGAGAGATACACAACCTTGGTAATTGTTTTGGTTGCATTTACATTTACTAAATTGTATCCTAGATGTGCTCAATGCACCCAGGTACAGAAATAAGCGTTTTACATTTCGATATTCATTACAAGTACAGAGCCGCATGTCTTGTTGTGAAGCTACCCAGAATGGCCATCACAGGCCTTTACTGAATGACATTTCAGAGTCTGTCACAGACAACCATTCATATGCATTCTCTGAAGTTGTCCAATGCAGTGCCAAGCTGAAATTAACCTTGTTTTGCCAAATTAATAAAACCCTTAAAAAATTATTTACCTTGGTATACAATGATGGCAAGGCTATTGAACTTTAAAGCTTAACTGTATATCTAATGGAAGTCTGCGATTGGAACCCACAGTTGTTTGCTGACTGCCCACAAGCATTAGCTCCATTGGCCACCTCAAATTCACTTCACAACATCTTAGTCCCATAATTGTTAAACTTACTGTCTTATATTTTCATTCGGAGATGCTTTAGTGTCCAAACACACCAACGATGTCTTTTAATGATGTTTATTTTAACCACAAAACCAATCCCATTGGGTTTTCTTTTAAACATATTGGAATTAACATAAAGACACCTGCCTTTATTTTGTTTTCTTGCATATTTATGACATTATCAGAGTAATGCATACTGAAAATGTATTGTGTTCAGAGACAATTTTAACGGTCTGCCAACTGTATTTGTTCACCTGAGGACGATCGCTTGTGTTGCGATTGAAGCGTCGTGTTTTTAACCTTTTTTATTATTTTCTATCTACGTGACTTTACCGAAAGAACCAAAGAATATGAATAAGTTACATAACAGTTACATGTTTAGTTATCTGTCTTTGAATAGATGTTCTTGGTTGTTTTTCTGTAACAATTACCCATGCAGCTGTATATTGACTAACATTAACAATGTGTTTGCACACTTATCATCTTAAAAAAAAAAACTAATCTTATGGCAAGTCATTTGGGATTGCACCTGTCTGTGCACCTCAAATTTGTTAATTTATAACTCTATGTTTCAGACGCTTGCCCTGCACTGTCTCGGACCTGTTCAAGTTCTGCTGGACATTATTTGTGCGGACAAAAGGTAGGAATAAGAGACTTGTGATTCCCTCAAACTGAGTGATTGTAAGACTCCCATGCTTGGTACCACGTGGTCTACAAGTGAACAAACAGATTTGTAAGCCGCAACTTAATTTGGGCGGCAGGGTTGAACAGTGATAACACTTGTGCCTCACAGCGAGAAGTTCCTGAGTTAAATTCCTGCCTCGGGATCCTTTTTCTGCGCAGTTTGTGTGTTTTCTTCCTGTTCTGTCTGGGTTTCTTCTGCGTTTTCCATTTTCATCCCATAGCTAATAAAAACGTAATTCATGGGTTATGATGTAAGTGGACAAATGAAATCCGACGGAATGGGTTTTTAATTAGAGAACCAGAATAATACCTGTGTTAGTAACATTTGTTACAGATTATTGATGAATAAATTGCGATACAACTTCAGATAGTTTTTTTTTCATGAAGTGAAAAGACCTATTAGAACCTCCCATTACGCCAATACCTGCTCCACCCTCCACGAATTCGTTTGAGATCCCAAAAAACAATCTGGGATTACGTGAGACACATGGATGAGGCATCAACTGAAGACCGCTGGAAAACAATGGAGATCTGCCAAGGGTCCTAATAAAAGCCTAATTGAGGACCCCAACCCCTGCTCCCAATGGATTTGATCTGCCAAGAAAACTGGTGCACCGCCCACCGCTTCAGGACAGCAACTGGTCGCTGCGCGCACCTCTTCCACAAGTGGCAAATTTGCGATGACCTCATTCTGCAGTGACTGCAGGCCACCCGAAACAAGCAATTGACCATAACGCGAACAACTGCATACTACACGCACTCTCCGGCGGACGGGACAGTATTAGTCATACTCCTGAAGCTATCATTTGGATCGTAAACTTCAAACTGGATGTATAATTTATACATACCTGCGATTTGCCCGAAGAATTTCGTGAAAATGTATTCAACTTTGAGTGTGCATTGGGGTTATTGAGGTATGATATGGTTAGTTTATAAAGACACATAGGGAACATATTTACTTCCTGGAACTTCCTACAGATGATAGGGCATTGCTTCAAACCCAGGAACGAGCTTGAAAGATTACTGTTTCTGGTGTCTGTTAAGTAGTCTTTTTTTATCACAAACAATGAAATGTCGTACTCACATTGTTAATGTTGTGGCTTGGCTCTCCAACACACCGGTGTGCTAGTGATGAATTTGCATGTTCTGTTTACGTGACAACCCTTACTAATTGGTTGTGTTGGGTGGTGGTTTGTTTAACTACGCATATATTTTCGCGATTTAACCCAAAAAAACCTGTATTTTGGATGATATTAGTCCCCAAAGCCTAAGTGTTAAACTGTCTTAATGCTGTACAAATGAGTGGTTCACTTTATATCAATCCTGTGATTAATGCACAATATGGGTTTTTGTCATCACCATATTTGTACTGTGATTTAATTTCATGCAGTCAATGGTGACATTGCTTAGACCTAATTACACTTAAATGGTTTTGTCATTGTTGGATGCCCAGATTCGGGTTAGATGCTCAGTTATAGTGGTTCATTTCTCTCTGACAAAGACATAGCATTAACTGCATGCCCACTCGTTAGCAACGGGTGCTCAACACTTAAAATATGCGACTGAGGGGAGACAGACCGCTTGCTTACTGTGGTGGTTATTGCTGATATTGGAGCAATGCCTACCGACGCTCGGAGTTGTGGGTAGCGAAGCGCGAGGGGGTCCTGGGAGAGGCTCGAGAGTGTGGTCACAGCCGCTTGGGTGCACCTGGGGGGTTGCGGTCGGTTCATGGGCAAGTCCAGACAGGAAGGGCAGGCAGAGTTGAGGTTGGCTCGGATCCGTAAGACATGTATCAACTTGCCTAGCATTCTGCGACAGCTCCTACTGCCTTAATCGTGGTGCTGGTTTCAAATAATTCGGTACATTGGCATGTTTTCAATCGCTATCAATTTGAAGTTGATGTTTGTCTGTTAGCTGCCATTAGCCATTGGTAGAAATTCCATATTACCATTCTGGGGGCCAGTTTCTCTCTAGGAAGATTAACGAAATTTATATATTTACGCGATCTAACCAGAAAAAAACCTCGATTAAGGAAGATTACTGTTGGTTTCCTTCAGTGTGAATATGTGCAGTTTTCACTGATAACCCATAGCTGTCAACAGATTAGCATTGTCCAGTACTGGCAGCAGTGAAATGAGATGAAGTGAAGCTTAGCATTCTGGCTGAGGGGACGTTTCCTTGTGTGAGAAAACGGACCGTTCGCCGTACTTAAATGCTATGCGCCCATGTGAGACTCTGGGCTGTGAGCCAGGCTTGCGCAAGTGGAAGGCCACCGCCCTCAAGCACGCATATTGCATCAGGGTTGAGCAGCTCACATGCCTCCCATGGCCCCTGCCCCACTGGCTTACTCCATTCCATCCGGAACAGAGTTTAAGTTGTCTTTCCAGGCTGCTCGTTGAAAGGATTAGTCGACCGAACACTGAGTTGACTGTCTGCTAGTCTGAGAGCTGTAACATAAAGAACATGCTTTTATTAATGTATGCATGTTTCATTGTGTAATATCACACTTTGAAGTATATTCTGTTAAGTTTAATATGAGTCTTGAAGTGAGTATGAATATGCACACGGGCATTTCAAACATGAACAGGATAATCACGTGCTTTAAAGTGAAGAATAGCGAGCAGAGATATGTCCATGTCGACACATGGCTACAGCCCCAGCTTTTGTGTGCTTGTCTGTATATCAGTGTGCACGTGTGTAGGATGTGAATGCAGATGCACATCTTTAATTGTCACTGTAAAGGTAAATAATAATAAAAATGTAGTTACATTTCAGAGATGATCGTTTTAAAAATACTGAATTTCAAAGTGCCTCAGCTCGTATGTGCATGTGGTTGTATTGATCTTTATTGAGAGCCATGAGCCATTGGTTTAATTTCACATTTATATTTCCCACAAATTTGTAATCATCTTCTTGGCCTCTTAGTGATGCATACTTCCTAACCGAAATTTAGTAACTGCCTTCCAATTGCAAGTAATGCGCTCTAAACCCAGCATAACTTTAATGTGTGAAATTTGGACAAGCATCACTCGTACATGAGAGACTGGGAAACATGTTAACATGCACGGGCAAAGGAATTTCCACGGAGCAAGTGTGGAATGTTTACCTGCTCGTAAGAGTTGGAATCCCCACCACCAATTGCTGGTTGCCTTCTGGGACAAAGGCTGTGGAGAAGCTAACCTCTATGCAGACAGTGCAGCTAATCCTGTTTTTCATTCATTCTTTACCCCAACCTTGCATTTTACGCCTGCAGCCAACTTTCCTATGATCAGCGATGATTTGGTAAACTCGTATCACCTCCTGCTGTGCTGCCTGGACCTCATGTATGGAAATGCCCTCCTGAGCTCTCATCGCAAGGATCTTCTCAACCCAAACTTCCAGGGTGAGTGCAGTGGCTCGTTCACAGTAATTGTCATTTACCCAGGAAAGCCTCACTGGGTGTCTGGACTTTTTCAGGAGGTCCCTGCATTGGGATGTTTGGCCAGTTTCCTTATGAGTGATTTGCTTTTGGGTCAAAATAATTGTACACAGGGATAATACATGCATATAGGGGATAGCAGTCAAAGGGTTCAGAATCCCACCTGCTGTACTGCTATCTCCCAGCTACCCCACAACCCACCCAGTTTGAGAGTTAAAAAATGTACATGATCCAACAAACATTGCCTCCAAAGTACTGGGTTACAGACATCTGCCACCACACCCATAAGCAAACATGTTTCATGCTTTTGGAAAAGATTGACAGAGGACCGTTGCACCTAGTGATGCATGGTAAGCACTGGACCAGGTATATTAGGCATTCATTTGCTTTGCAGATGCCGGCAATTGGTTTATGATCATACACTGTGGCAGCTGAGTCTAATTGGCCTAAGTCGGGAAAGTACTTGATATACCTGTAGAGGGAAGAAAACATTGCACAGTTGCATGACATGCACGTTTTTACTTTGTTTTTGCATTCCCGTGATGGAAGCCTTCCATATCTAATTCTGGCTGCGGTAGTTGTAGGCATGCAACTTGTTCACAATGTACAGATTTTGTTGCAGGCGAGGGATGTTTAGTATGTCATCAGGTGTATGTGTTTCATTTGGTCACACTTTTGGGGGGTTTTAATTGCTGTTCTGCCTGGAGAAAAAGACAGTGTATGCAATTTGGTGCTCTTAACTTTCAAGCTCCACACAGTCGCTGTGAGTCATTGTACTTAAGTTTAGGGTTATGTGTTTGTGTTGCTGTCTTGCGGTGAAGGCCTTCCGGAAGAATTTGGCAACAAGGACTTCCGTCCGCCAGCGGAGCCCCCGTGCATCATCGACCAGCTGTGCGTGCTGCACGACGGCATCGTACTGGAGGCCAAGGGCATCAAGGAGCACTACTGGAAGCCGTACGTCCGCAAGCTGTTTGAGCGCAAGGTAAACACTTGTACACGTAGCCGTACTCTTCTCAAGTGCGTGCAGAGTGCGTTCATTTAAAAGTCATGCTCATCTATGGATCTGTAATAATGTTGGCAAACGAGTGTAAGAACATCTTGTGGCTTGGCGAAGGCTAGAATAATGTGGATGTAGCAGCAATAGCTGTTTAAATGGAATAATTTACTTCTAACACATAAATTAAAAATCCCTTTAGAATGTTGGCTTCATGTTAATAGATTTTGGCAACCAGCAATAATACTTAACACGTGGGGTTTTCCCATCCAATATTATGATTGGTAATATATTTTTTGGTTAGGCCATATTGATTAGGCCACATTTCTGTCAAAAGGTTCTCTTACAACCAACATAGGCCAACCAAATTAAATTGCCACATGTACAAATGTTTAACGAACCAATTGCTCAGTGGAAAGTTGAACTATTTTCACAACCAAATTAAGCAATTCAATACAAAGTTTTACTTGAAAATGTCAAGCATCTTCAGGAAAATGCAGGACATCGGGTGATGGGTCTTGTAAAATAAATTTGGTAAGACCATTCCATGGCCAAATCCAGAAATAAAAATATAAACAACATAATACTGTTAATGGAACCTTAGATGTTCTGGTGGTCACGTGATGCCTAATGTATAACATATGCCATACTTGCTAATTACAAAAAAAATGTTTTGTTCCACTCAGATTCTGAAAGGAAAAATCGACACCCTTTCTGGATTTCTTGATGTTTCAACTTTTACAGACAATGAGTGAGTTTTGAGGACAAAAACACACACCCTAAATAAGCATGACAAAGGTGGGGAGCTCAAACTGGGAGAGTTCAGTTTCTATTAGACAACCGCTTGTTACACAAAGTGGGTACCCCAGGCTGGAATGGTTAAAGGGGGAGTTGAACCCCAAATGGGATTGAAACTGCCAGCTATAACCCAAGCACCACCCTCCCACATTGTGTGTGTTTCTAGTGCTGGTGAATTTACCCACAGTTCCAGTTGGTGGGGAATATAAAATTGTTCACGAACAAAAAATATATTTCAACTTGAAGATACTTTCCTGAGTTATAGTAACAATAAGGTATTCACTTGGAATGCATTTGAGTTTGTGCATTGTTTTGGTGACTCGACAGAGGAGAGACGTGTTTATATTCACCCATTCACAATACGATTAAGTGTTGCAATTTGAAGTCAATATTCACTTTGAGAATCGATATTTTTTTTGTAACTGAATGTGGCACCTTCTAGTGGTTGCAGGGTTTACATACATCTGCTACATCAAAATATATGAATTGGGATAAAATACATTCTCAGACGCCCAAATTGAAGCATGTATAGTGAACATGATTGATTTAAATGTATTAATCAATGCATCGTCACGTCTTCCGCATGTCCGCCTCTTGACCATTATTTGAAAGCGTTTGCTCGTACCCAATGTCACAACAACAACGGCCTCTCCTCCGTTATTCCTTGTGTGCCGCCGGCAGGAAAGCCATTAACCGGGAGTACGAGGAGTACGTGCTGACGGTGGGCGACTTTGACGAGCGTGTGTTCCTGGGCGAGGACGCCGACGAGGAGCTCGGCACGCCGCAGAAGGGCACGGTGATGCCAGGCACGCCGGGGGCGGGCCATGAGCTCGCCGAGAAGATGAAGATCAAGCGCAACTTGCAGCAGCATTTTGAGAAGGTAAGCTTGCGATCCCTTCCACTGTGGCAGTCTTGTCTCCTCCACAGCTGTCTTGGCCCGTAGTACCGCTTTTATGCAGAACCTTTTACCTCCCAAGATCACATGGCGGGGTTTTGTGGCACAGTCTGATAATGTGTGCTCTTTTGGCATTTAGGGAACGATTTATCTCCCACGTGATGAATTTTCTCAGGTGAAGGTTACGATTTCATTCACAAATCGTTCCTTTTTGTCTTGTATTTTTTTTACCATCGCATTGCATTGTTTAACGCTCGTTTTTGTCTCATTTGTATATTTTGTTTGATCAATTAGCGTGATATTTACAATAGCATATAATTGGCTCTCACACAAATTATGTGCTCCATGAGTCATGAGCGAAAATGTTTTACTGGATTACTCAATATATCCTGAGATATACAATGCCCATAATCTAATGCTATACATTCGTTGTCATTACTACATCCATCCAATGCTATTATACTTGGTTATTTGGCCATCGTTGTGTTGTCCAATTCTATGTTAATCATTACCGTATGCTATACCCCATGATTTGTAAATCGTTGCAGATTCTTACGTTGAAGAATCTATTCGAATTCATAGAAATTATATGCAAATCGTACATTCAAGCTCGTGGATTGAAAGAGGAGCAATACAATCTATATATATATATATAAAAAGGAAATTTGTGAATATGTGTCTGTTCGAAATGTTTAGCATACATCCCAACATGCAACAAACTTGAAATTTGGCATGTGGGTAGCTTCCAGACTGTACACAATGCAAAAAGTATAAAAATAGACTTTTGTATTTTGGGGGAGGGCGCAATAATGGATATATTTTGCACGCCAAGTGAGCGGTGACGTCACATGTGATGTCACCCGCATGCGGCAGTGTTACGCAGTGTGCCTGCTGACGGCACTCATCCCCCCTCCAACCCTCTGCGTAGGCCATGTATTAATCCAAGACAAGAATCCAAGTCTCGGGCAAAGCCGGGTAGTAAAGCTAGTAAGAATATAATCAAATGAGATTAAATAATGTTTTTTGACTCGCATTGTGACCCTGAATGACTCTGAATCATGGAAATGTGTCAAATTGCAGGAGTGTTTACATCCTGCCTGCAGATTACACCCATTATTTCTATGCCATATGGCCTTTAAGTAGGCATGTTTCTCTACTTTTTGCCCTCTTTTTTTTATTCTGCATACCTGGATTTTTTCTCATTTAACCTTAATTGTCCTTTGTGCTCAGCCTATTATTTTTATTACACCCCATCATTAACCTATTCTCTATGTCCATCATCCAATGCTGTAAGTAACACTACTCACACATATAATATCCAAAACAAGCAGTATTTACTCATCGTTCATCATGGCGAGCACTTGGATATAGAGGAAGTTTTGAAAGCAGCACCTCCGTATCAGTGCTCCATAAGCATTTATAATTTTCCTTATCGGCCATCGTAGAAAACTTGTGGACATGGAAGAAATTTGAAGAACGGGCCTCCAATATAAACGTTTTGTAACTGCAATTTCCACAGTCGAATTGTAATGAATGCTTATTACATCATAGACTCGCTCGCTGGCGCCCTCCACCCCACTGACGGGCCGGCGCTACCTCAAGGAAAAGGAGCAGGGCTTCACTCCAGTGTCAACGGCGACACAGAGCGTGGGCCGCCTGCAGTCCCTGCTGTCAGGCTTGCGCGGGGCACCCAGCGAGAATCTGCTCTCCATGCTGCGGTAAGAGCAGCTGCCCCAGCAGCGGCAGTAGCTCCCGTAGCAGCTACGGTGGTGAGATGTTAACTACCTCGCCTGTTATGCAGGAGGTCGTGGGTTCAATCCCAATCCTGACGCCTATATATTTGGAGTTTTGCCTTCTGGTTGCGTGGATTTTTCTGCGGGTCCTCCGGTTTTCCCCTTCACATTCAGAACCGTGTGTTTTAGAGTATTTGGCTGCTATAAATTTCCACGTGATAATGCACTTCATTGGGCTTTGATATGTGGCCAGTTCGCTGCTGATAAAGAGCTTTCTAGCCCAGTGGCCCTTACCTGTGCGAAGTGATGTCAATCCCGTGTACATCTGTGCGGTTTATGAGTGCTTATGTCGCGCCTCCCCCCCACCCAGAGGAATTTAGAAACAGAAACAAAGACAAAACGAGAAATGGAGATAAATTGCAATAATAATTACAGAGAATGCAAGGGAAAGGTGGAGAGAGACGGGCCTCTGTATATGAATGGCTGGCTGGGAGGCACGGATGGACGATCATGTCCAAAGGACATGGGGGTTGCTAGTATATATAAATATATTTTTCATCAATGGTCTTTCCAGATAATTTGATGAGTCACATTTTTTTTATTAAACCACTTTTCCAATGTACATGTAAAAATGTCACTACCTTTCTGCAATATTATTTTGCCTATATAGTTTTTCCAGACTTGTGATATAAATTTCTACATCATAAGCCACTTCGTTGAGGTATAATTTTGACCAGGTTGCTTCTGGAAAAGGGCTATATAGCTCAGTGGGCCTTACCTGGTACAAATACAGTCCAGTTTCGTTTATGAAAAAAATTACGTTACAATGCTACATCATGCTGATGGGGCTCAGTGAATATTAACCTTGATTAAGCAAACTCATAAAATACACAATAGAAAAATATCTTGCAGCAATAACAGCATGCTGTACAAAAAAAATATTGGTTTGTCTCTATTCACAATTTATCCTTATTGTTGTATAATAACCGTAACTGTACTACTAAACATTCTTCAAATAGGAAGTTTGTACTGCAAAGTGTCTCTCTTGCCTTTCCTGGTAATGCATGCATGAGGGTTTGTTCCGCGAGCCAAAGACCACTTTGTTTTTACTGGACTGCTCCCACCACTCAGCCAGTCATCACAGATATATTGCGCAATCCGTCATGAGCACAGCAGCTGAAGCATCAAATGTTCCAGTTACTCACATGCCCCTTGATTGTCTTCGGCACTGGCCGTCCAGACTGGAGTTTACACGTTTGAACATCGTGCGTGTCTCCTCGGCCCTGGGTTAATGTGTGTTTTTAGAGCAACTGGCTGCTGTGACTGCCGCTTGCAGGTCATCTTCGCGTGATCAGACCGAGGCGGTGCAGACACGGGTGCGGGAGATGGGTGCAACATTCTGCAAACACTACACTGGGCCCAGCGATGGGCAGCCTGGCTCGCATATAGGTATGGCCTGTGCATGCTTACATGAACACACACGCCGACATGATCTGCTATCATAAGCTGAGTGTCTGCCCAGCCTTAATGTTACACATGTGGTGCATGCAATTTCAGAAGATATTAAAATCTCCATGACCTGACACAACAATGACTGACCTTCATGAAACAGTGTTTATATATATCTTTTCATTGTCATGTTTAAGTGCAATGAATGCACATAGTTCAATGATGGTCCAAGGCTTTGATATCATCGCAAAATAATTGTTTGTCTTGCTTCTCAAACGACACATTTATAGAACACATCCCTTGTCATTAGAACAGTATTACTGTGAATGTTTCTTCAAGCTATGGAAGTTACTGCAATCAAAGTTTGATAAGTATGTTTTATTAACATTTCTCTTAATTTTATCTATTTTCCCACATCTCCATTTAATTAGTTAAAATAACATGTCATACAACTGTAAAATGTAGTTTCTTGTTGTGAAGTTTGGCACTGATACTTAAAAAGAAAACACTTTGAACATTCATTCAACTATTGTTTTAGCACTGCTACATCAGGCCAAGGACCTTAAATCACCCGTTGTTACAAAAATAAAAATCCATTTATATCCTTACTGATGGATGGGACAACTGCTGTTAGTGAGCACTTGCTACTGTGACTTGGCGCTGTAGGTCATCTTCACGTGATCAGACCTGATCAGACTGAAGTGGTGCTGTGGTGATGCAGTGATTAGCAGTATTGTAACACACTGAATTAACTTGTGTTATGGTAAGGTCGCATTCAAAGACATGCAATTGCTGACTCAGCCTAAGATGCTGGTTGTACAGTGAACATGAGTATTGGTGCCTGCTGGGACAGGCAGCCAGACATGATGATGGCCAGACGACCCTCTAATGTGCTGTTATACTCTGAATAATATATGCTATCATACACATGAGAACAAAGGTGCCTTTAGTTTAGCCCAGCCATTGACGGCATGAATGTTACAACTTGTTGGGTCTTGTTATTGTACCCTCGCTACACTGCCATCAAAGAAAGGGTTTCCAGAAGCACTCTTTACACAAGACAGATGTCTTTGCACAGCAGTGACCTGGAACACAGTGGTTGACCTCCATTGCAATGAGTGCACAAACGCACACAGGCGCTTGTGAGAGCACTCCTGTGTGTTATATTCCAACTATTGGTATTTAGTACCTTGTAAGAAGCACCAACCCAAGATGGAAAAGTCCCCTATGAAATAGAACTCAAGAGTTTTTGAAGAAAAGTCATTGGATTACTGACTCACCAATGTGGCAATGGCTTTAGTCTAAGCTTTTGTCGATTATTTCCACGTATTTTTATGCATTTATTTTTTGTCTTTGAGTAAACACGTGTAAATATTTCCTCCTTTCTGTAGAGGTAGATATTGCATACACACCCCTTGTACTGGTAGACACCAATTTAAGAATGTGTAGGTAGAGTTTGAATCATCAATTGTCCACATGTCTGTTTTCCTTTGCTCAGACTTTGCCCAGAAACGGCTGAAATTGGCAGAGATTCTGTACTACAAAGTGCTGGAAGGTGTCATCACACAGGAGAAGAAGAGGGTGCAAGGGAAAGACCTGACAGTGTGTATAATAAATATGCCATCATCCGGTCTCACACCCACAATTCACGATCATTGACTTAAATCTACAGGCATTCTTTTAAATGAAAGCAAGCACATGTCATTTGTACAAGCACAAGTGTAGAATGCAGCATGTCTATGTTCCAACTATTAGAAGATCTCATAGATTGAGACTCCAAAAAATGCTAGTTTGCAGTGGCCAGGAGATTACAGTTAAGAATATAGGTTGTGAGCCTCATTCATGGAATCGCCTTTCTGTTGTAACTTGTAGATGTGAATTTTATTTTCTCCCGCAGTCCAAGCGCTGTTTAAATAATTGGCCAACCATACCAACACAATACTCTCCTGAAATAATTGTCCTGAGACTCATGTCGGTATTAATTTTCTAATCATTGTCATTCATGTTCTTTTTTGCACTTCCCAGATATCTAGTCTGCTTTATAGCAATAAAGGTTTTAACACACATGTGTTCAGTCCATGTTATAATTGCAGGGTCTTACAACACAGATTTTTGTCCGACCATTAGGTCGCCTATTCCAAACATCAATTATGATTCAATAGTTGTGTTTGAAGTACGACACACGAAAGCAGAATTATCTCTAAGTACAGACAATCTAAAACACTATCGCGTAAGTAAGAGTAGATGCCATTGCGTGAATGTATGTTGAACTTCTTTTCGCACCAGCAATAAGCATGCCATATTGTGACATGAGCTCTAAGCTTGATGGTTTTGCCTGCACGCACACAACGCAATGCAGACTCTGTTGGAGCAGGATGTGTTTCACCGCTCGCTCATGGCATGCTGCCTGGAGATCGTGCTCTTCTCCTACAACTCGCAGCGCACGTTCCCCTGGATCCTCGACACGCTCAGCATCAGCCCCTACTCCTTCTACAAGGTGTGTGTCGCCCTTGTCTTTGTGCGTCTCTTGTGCCTCGTGTGTCTCTATCCTTTTTGTCTCTAGCGCCATCCCTCTGTGTCACCATGTCTCTCGAGTAGACGCAAGGAGAGACAGACACACGGAGAAACATACTGCATACACGCACGTCTTTTAACATTCCACACCATTTGTCAAATATAGTTTAATGATTCTGTTCTAGGAAGTGTGTAAACATCACTACTGGGGAGACAAAGGCGGCCTGGCATGGTGTTAGCCACCCCCCACCCCCTTGTGTGCTGTGCTGGCCTTGATAGGTGCTCACTAACAGCACTTGCTATACGGGGGATCTTTGTCTTTGTGTGCGAGCAGGTGATAGAAGTACTGATCCGTGCAGAGGAGGGCCTCTCACGGGACATGGTGAAACACCTGAACCATGTTGAGGAGACGGTGCTGGAGAGCCTAGCGTGGAGACGCGACTCCCCGCTCTGGGACGCCCTGCATGCAGCCCATGCCGCCGGCACGCCCAGCTGCGAGGAGGCATGTCCAATATGTGCACCTCACCCACACCAGCGTTTGGCTATCGTAACACGCACTTGGAATTGTTACGTTTTCTGCAAGCAAAGAATGTCATGCTGAGGTTTGCATTAATTAGTGTTTTCCGTTGTCTCTTGACAACAGGTGACACTACCAAACCACCTGGAAAGCATTCCAGCTCCTGCCATTATTCATCCGCGTGTGCGTGAAGTCCGCACCGACGCGTGCCCCATCACAATGAAAGGTAACCCTCTTTCTCATATGTTTGACAATTCTGTGTATGTAGGCTTTCGAAATATTGTTAATAGAGAGTGAGGCCATGGCACTTAGAGCATTGCACTTGAATTAAGGGTGTAATGATTTACCTCCCTCATGGTTTAAGGTATTATTATTCAGGGTCCTGATTTGATTAAGAACCATTTTTTCTTTTTACATTGTCATGAGTGTAGTTGCATTGGACCCATTAAATCTAATATATTGCTGGTCATGAGGGAGGTATTCTAGAATGGTTAGGAAGATGAGCCACGATCTTTTTTACTTTTTTAACCTAGGAAATCAGATTGTAAAATCTAAATGATGATATCTGGGCCCATAAAAATTATGAAACTAAAGGATATAACCTGAAATTTGTACAAATATTGTCAAGTTTATTGGAGTAGACTTCCCTCATTTGACTTAGTTTATTTGTTCCCTCAAGTGGTGGTCAACACCAGCACTGAAGAGCGGTGCTCGTCCCTTTCGACCATCATTGTTTGCCATGGTGCTTGTAACAGGTTCTTGTTAAAACAACAACCGCCATTCGCCACTAAGTGGCGGTGACGTCACCACAACGCTTGTGCCAGGCTATGTGCACTTTGAGGCCACGTGAAGTGTCGAACGCCTGCTGGCAGGAGGTCACGGGGCAGACCCAGGTGCTACGGGCCAAGTGATTGAGATGACTGGCTAATGCACCACCTGTGCCCCCTACTGTGCCAACTTGCTGTGCGTTAAAATCACCTCCTACCACAACCATAGGTATATTTTAAGTTGAGGCATGACCCTTCCACTTTAAGAGTTTATAATTGGTACTCCTGGGTAAGGCTTTCAGTGTTTACCTAAAAAACTAGGAGTGATTAAATAAAACGTGACAATGAAAGACTTTTGTTATTTTAATCGGTTTGATGAATCACTCAAATATATTTGTACGTGTTCTCAATTGAACAGCATGAATATTGATGCATAACACATCTAAATTATGGTTGGTTGGGGTACAACCTAAAATCAGTTTTCATGTGCCCACAAAATAGCATGAAGCCAAATTTTCAAAAACTTTTGTTTCATATTGGTGGGGAAAATGTGACGGGTCTGGTATTTTTCGCTGTTATCATTGCCGATGCCCCTTTATATTGAACTAACCTTGTATTCACGAGCTGGTTTTGTACAGTTGCAGGTGACGCGCCACAGTCCCCGTTCTCGGCGCATGATCGATACAGCTCCCCAGCCGCTGGGACCGCTCGCCGCAAGCTGTTCACAGACTCATTGGCGATGGCATCCATCGCCTCCTCGACATCTCAGTCTTCCTCCTCTACTGCCACCGCTGCCCCATCCTCGGCGGTTGCTGACGGCTTGGCGGCGCCTGCAGCCTCCGTGCTGGGGCCGCGGGGACTGCTGAATGTGCCGTCCGTAACGCCGCTGCCCGGACACACCATGCTCACCGTAGCCACGGCCACCGTCACCGCAACTAATGGCCAGTCGGTCACCATTCCTGTGCGAGGTGAGGCACCTATCAGGTCTTGTGAATGGGCACTCATAATACAACAAAGCTTCACATATACTTATAGGGTTTTTCCCCTTTTTTCTGGCAACAAAACTGACACCTTTTGCAAGGAATCATGCTTACATTAACCACAATACCTGCAGTCAAATGCAAACAAAAAACAATACTCTGATAATTTATGCATTGTCTTTGAAAAGCTGTCTCTGGTGCGGACCAATCAGTTTCAAAGACAATGCATAAATTATCAGAGTATTGTTTTTTGTTTGCATTTGACTGCAGGTATTGTGGTTAATGTAAGCATGATTCCTTGCAAAAGGTGTCAGTTTTGTTGCCAAAAAAAAGGGAAAAACCCTATTAGTATATTTTGGTACTGGCAAAGGAGATCCCATGATGTTCACATATACTTGTTCACGAACCTACATCCTGTACTGCCGTCATCTGGCCACTTGTTAGATCAGTGGGTTTGTGTGTTCCACAAAGCTGCATGATCCACAAAAGTGCACATGCCACACCTGGCTAAACTAATTGTCCAGAAATTGTGGTGTGAGAGTGAAGATAAGTTACCATGAGGTAATTTTTGTTGTTCTTCCCGTTGGGAATGCAGGCATAACCAGTGACAGTGGCACCATCACGTTCGTGCCAGTCACGGTGAATATGAGCGGGGGTCACCAGCCAACGCTGCAGGCCACGCAGTTGCTGTCGCAAACCCTGACCGCCCGCCGTAAGGAGGGCCCCGCCCTGTGCACTGCGCCAGCAGTGACAGCCGCAGCTGATGGGGAAGCAGCTGCAGCAGGGGCCGGCACTATCATGAGCAGGCCCAAGCGCACTGGCTCCCTAGCACTCTTCTTCCGCAAGGTTTGTTGCCGCTGATGTCGCCAACATTTCCATGAATCTGAATGTCTCCTTGAATGCAAAAGTCATTTTTCCCCTCTTATCTGCTCTCTTTAATTTCCCTCTTTTGCCTTAAAAATAAAATCCTCTTTCTCAAAATCACGTAACATACGTGTCTTCGTGTGCAGCATCTTAACTCGTGGTCATATTGAGACGCTTTATAAATCTAAGTTGTGTTGTCAGTGATGGAATGTTTCTATTGTGCATGTTATAATTATGTATTTTGTTACCTGCAAGATCTTCGACACAAGCAGCCCATTACAAAACTACTAAATTGTATGTATGTATATTGGATTTATTTTGCACTGTACGTAGCCAGTTGTGCTAATCGTGTGCACATGGGGGCGGCAGGTATACCACCTGGCGAGCGTGCGGCTACGCGACCTCTGCCAGAAGCTGGACGTGTCGCCGGAGCTCCGCAGCAAAGTGTGGACTTGCTTCGAGCATTCTCTTGTCCACTGCACCAACCTCATGGCTGATCGGCACCTTGATCAACTGCTCATGTGCGCCATCTATGTCATGGCCAAGGTAAGGCAGCATGTGAACACTCCTTGATCGCTCGCTCCTGTTTGGTCAAGCTCAAATTAAGTCAAAAGGCTTGATTCCTGTTTTGCAAAAAGTTTTCTTTTTTGTCCACGTTTTGTGATCATGTACCGAGGTCTCCCGTCGCATAATTTGTAGAGACAATGTGGTCCCTGTTCAGACAAGCGATGGGGCGGTGCTTATCTTGTTGTTGGTGCCTCTTTGCCTGCAGTGAAAATTCCACATTCCCATGGTGGGGCCATTCAAGTTATAGAATACCCACTGTTGGCTTCCAATCAAGTAATACTTATTGTATTAATGACTAGGGGGATAAAATTCAGTCCACTCTACCCCCCCCCCCTCCCAAAATAGGATTTAATTTGCAACATAATATCCATGCCTGGTGATTTAGGGCCATGATATTCCACAAGCTACTAAGCCATCCTGACATAATTCTTAGGATCTTATGGAAGAGCCAAACTAATGCTTTTTTTTAAAGAAGTCAAATTTCCATAGGTTAATTTCAACATCATAACATGTATTACTATCAAGAGGAATTTAGCATATTTATGGACGGCTGCTTGCGTTGTGGCCGAAACGTCGTGAGAATTATTTTATTGTGTTTTATTTTTATTATTTTATTACTTCCCTTCTACGTGATTTTACCGAAAGAACCAAGAAGATGAATCCCTGCAGTCACAAAAGCTTTAAATCGAAAAATGCATTACTACTTTTTGTAATGTATGTGAAATATGAAAATGTTAATCTTAATATTTAGGAAATGTGACTCTCCACTGGTTACAGTACTTTGTTGATATGAGCCATGGATGTAACTGATAGCAAGTATGAGATTGCAGCGGTTGCTTGTGCCATATGGGATTGGACAACCCTGAGTAATTCTGCTGCTGCTTCTGATTGGCCCAGGTGACGAAGTCGGAGCGCTCATTCCAGGACATAATGAAGTGGTATCGGAGCCAGCCCCAGGCCAACAGTCACGTGAGTCTCCCCATGGTGCTGTATTGTGCTTGTGAACATGTTTGTTTATGTGTCTAAATAGTAGTGGTGTGAGTTTTGCATGAAGGATTTTATACGGCCTCTGCAAAGTGCCGTCCAAAAACAACTCGTTAATATTTACGCATTTTAACAGGACATTCTGTAGTAGGCTAACAATCCTGGCACTGGCTGTTCTTGTGCTCTGAAAAATAACCTTTGCAGAAAAAGAATAGGCTTATGTATAGTTGTCTTTAATCAGGTCATTGTTAGACAATAGTGTTTATACGTTTTCACTCTGTAGTTGTCCACTATTGCTATCACAGTCCCTTTTAAGATTTCGGATGACCTTGAGTGATTGTACTGCTCACCAGTGGACTTATGTCGACTCGTGGACTAATATCACTCAAGGTATTGGTGAGATGACAGAGGCCGCGGTGTCTCTCTTCCCCACAGGTTTACCGCAGCGTTCTGCTCAAAGGCCGCAGACGCAGGAGGAACTCGGGCAGCAGTGAGGGCAGCACAGAGGCACGCGACCGAGGTGGGAGCACAGGCTTTGTTTCTTTAACTCATCCCGTTCGCTCGGTTCACAAGGATAGCCATTTCGTTAGCTGAGAGGATGCAACATGGCTTTGTATTAGGCTTGTAATGATTAACCTACCCTGAAATGGAATGCATTGTCAATTCAAGAATATTTGTGTTACAGTGGAGTAGATTTTGTGCCGAATGGCTGCAGAAATCACACCAAATTATTACATAATCGGTTATTGCATGCACGATTGGAGATATGTTGTGAGCTTTGGAATCGGTTTGAATTGTCAATGAACTGGACTGTCGTTACCTGCTTGGTTTATATTTGGCACCAATATATATTTTATTGGTGCTAATTTCTAAATACTCGTAACTCTTTTGGAGGACATACCTTCCAGAAAGGCTTTAGGTGTCCATAGCATTGAATACATGGGAATGTATTGTCCTGTTGACAGCTAATTAACGCAAGCACCCGATGCTCCGTTTTGAAGTTTTAAAATGAAACATCTTTGAATTGTATTGTTTTGAATTAGATAATTTAATTTCTTCATTTTACATCTGGAAGACTTAATTGAAAACGGCATTTCGTGTTAATTTTTTCTCGTCGTTAAGTAGATGGCCTTCCTGGGGGTTTGGTTCGATGCGGACTGTCACCCGTTTGGGATTGCGGGATTGAGATAAGGCGACGTAGAGCTGGCCTGTGCGAGAAGACCGCCGTCTTCAGATCGATTCCAATGTGATCGAACGTCTGTCCCTGCGCCTAAGTCGTTCATGCAGGGGGCGTGTAGGTTTGCAGCGCCCCCTGCAGTGAAATCGACGGAAAGTGCAGCGTTCATCACAGATAGATAAAGTTGTGCGCTTATATAAGAGTATTATTACCCATTTCTCCAGAAAATGTTTAATTCATGATATTGACCAGCAGCTGAGTAAACTTGGCTCAGTCACAGAAGCCAACTCGATAGATTGTACACGATGGTGCGTGTTACCTGAGTTGTTAGTGGTAACACATTTTAAATGACAGTGCATGTTTTTCAGGATAGCGGTGAGAAATATGAATATGACAATGCATTCATCAATATGTTCCCTCACGATACATGCATTACATCATGTGTGTTATAATCTACAAGTTTATGCAATTTATATGTAAATGATACGATTTTACTTTTCGGCGAATGGAGTCAACAAAATTTTACAAATTAAGTCATAAAAAGTATATCAAGTTAAACTGTACAGTTTAGACATGAAAATAATTTAATCAAACCAAGACCCTGAATCGTGATAATTGACTTTAGGAATCAATCGTTAGATATCTATTGAATATGGATGGTACTTGATGGTGTATTGCTGTCCGGCGGTGACGGGGGTGCGCAGGAGAGCGCGAGTCAAGCCCTCCCAGCATGCGATCCAGCAGCACCCTGCCCGTGCCTCACCCGAGCAGCGCACCACCCACGCCCACGCGCCTCCTGGGCTCAAGCTGTCACCCCGACAATGAGGATGAGGAGGAAGAGGAGAGGGGGGACCTCATCCAGTTCTATAACCAAACCTACATCTCTTGTATCCGCACCTTTGCGCTCAAGTACACCGGCAACAGCCTGGAGACTGCTGTGAGTATTTTCTATACGGTCCTACTGGCAATCTTTAATTTGCATGAATAATATATATGTTCAAAATTTTCAAGTCCATCCATCACGCTTTGTTTCTACCAAATGGTATATCAGATGGAAACACAATAAAAATATTTCTCTGAGCAAGAACATTCCAAGAAAGGTGTTTCCTTTCCTAATTAACATTTTGCCCAGGAAATTTCTATATGTATCTTCCAATACAAAGCAATGGGAGCCAACGTTTTCCAAGAGAAGGACTCCCGATTAATTGCTAGAATCCTCCAGAAGATGGCTTCCCCGTTGAATTATATTTAAACCCCAATGTTTATGAGCTACATCATCGGCCCTTAAGCCATGCGCCTATGGCTTCACCACGGTGACATCATCTTATAGGACTGATAGACAAAGTGCTGAAGTCATTGTGCTGGCGCAGGCAAGGGCGTGCTCTCGTTCTATCCCACGCAAATGTGCGGGCAGTGCCAGTGTATGCGTAATATAGATATCCAGAGTTTGGTGGCAATCAGTCTGGCTGCCGAATCTTTCCTCCGCTCTGCAGCCTCACTTTTCCATTACTTTCCTTTCCCATTGCCTCAGGTTTACTTTGTCTTTCTTATGTTTCTCATGTATATATTTTCTTTAATCAAAATTTTTTTTAAAGCTCTACATCGCTGTATGAGGCTGGGCGGTTGTTGTTGGTATTCAGTTGCATCCTGGCCTTTGCCTGCTCGTGGCCCACAGGTCTTGTGGCTGCCAGATCGCCGCAACATATGCCGCATGTATGCAGTGTCTGGCTGCTGTGCAGTCCTCCGTCGCTCCCTACATCCCCTCACCACGCACGCCGCTGCTTGCCCACGGTGCTTGGCTTGCCATTGCAGTGCTGTCACACATCCTGATGTGCAGTCTAGCCTGCCTACCAACTTGCTGAACCTGAATCACCAGGCTTCTGTCCACAATCCCACCCATCAGTCTCCTTCTTTGGTCACCTGTTGGCCACTCTTGCCATTACCACCCATCCCACAAATCTTATAACCTGCACTCTTTTACTGAATTGTGATCAGTTGGCTTTAGGAATAAATCGCTACATATCGACTGAGTACTGACCGTACTTGATGGTGTATTTCTGTCTGGCGGTGATGGATACAGAGGGAGGTGCCACCCTTGTCGCCGTTACCTCTTCTGCGGACGCACCCGTGCTCTCCGCGCCGCGTGTCCCACATGCATCCGATCTACGTGTCGCCGCACAAGAATGGCGCGCCCTTCTCCCCACGCAGCCGTATGCTCTACTGCTTCAACCAGAGCCCCTCCAGGGTGAGATGAGCACACAACTGTGGTGTTGTACTTCCAGCATTTGCACTTTATAGCGACATGCCAGCTTGAGTAAAGAAAGGCACATCAGTCGTCATTTTGTCAGTCCACTGTTAGATGAGGGATTCGTCACGCCGTGTGGGTTGTTTAACTTTACGACGCTCATCAATGCAGGGGGGTAAAGGCTGGGAGCACAAACATGGGCCATGGAAGTACAGCAAAATGGATTTTTCTTCACGACCCACAAACAACCCCAAAAATATATAGTTAGTTTGTTATAGATAAGTACACCAGCTGTGTGTCCCAGGTTTGCCAGACAGTTTACATTTTGAATGAGAAAAAAAGGCTAAAATGACACGAGTGATGACATTAAAACATCACTAGATTGCCATAATAGTCTGCTTCAATGTGATGTTAATGTATTTTTTGTTGTTAATACATCTTCAAACTCAATTTGGACAGTCTATGACAGACTGTCTCGGTACATTCTACAAAGTAGGTTTTTGGTAGAATCTTCCTTTAGGTTATTCCCTTATTGAAATGTAGCCTGCACGGTTCATTCGCATGCACATGTTGCCACATGCATGGAATAATGGCACGCGTGGATCAGCACACTCAAAGCATGAATACAAGAGTTTAATAGCTTTTGTTGCACACATACACACATTGTATATCCTTGAACAAGCATTCATAATTTGTGTGTACCTATGTTCTAGCCCACATGTATTAGTCCACCTGTAATACTAGTCTCTAAATACAACCCACAACTTTTACCAAGTCAATACGCAGGCTGAATATACCTTACCACTGCTTGATGAATGAAAAATATCCAAGCTACATTTTTGACAAAGTTCGTTTCATTCCGCTGTGAAAAATGGCAATGGCCTGAGATATGTGCACTCAGTCATACCCCGATTCACGCCATTCCGCTTTGTGTACTTTCTCTATAACGTACCCAACTTCTTGATGATCTCCCAATCCCGTGTTACGTACTGTGGTACCTCGCCATAATGTACTCGAGATTTAGGAACTTTACCAACTTTACTATTAAGACCCACATTTTTTACGGCTCAAGCTTTAGTATTCCTGACTAGTCATCTCTTTCACTTGTACACACACACTCTTAATATTTTGTTGCTCTACATCCCGTATTCATGGCGACTATGTTTATACAAGTGGTTGTACATTATAGATGTGCAAAGGGTAACTGAGCATCCTATATTTAGGTACTATACCACGTTACGATCCACGATCCCATCTCATTGCTTCGATTTAAGTACTTTCTATTTACATCCTGGGCGTAAACCGGGGTATGCTTGTTATGCGAAGGAAGCAGTTCTGAATGTTGCATCAGTGGACTCAACCGTGATGACCTCTTGACCAAGCTGTGCACACCAGCAGAATCAGAATAGTACATTTTAAGATATGTAATGCGTGCTGCTGCCTTAGGTAAATTTTTGTTCCTCCCATATTTATGTAAAAGTACCATTTATTTTTAAATAAAGCCTCAATGAGTTTCTAGGAGGATCCTGTATTGGATTTTTGTTTGGCATTCCAGCAAAGTAAACTGGAAAAAACCCAATCATGCAAGGGAATAACACTCAAAAGGTCTGCGCAGACGTACTAACATCTCTGACCACCTCTCAGTCCAGAAAATATACACGTTCCACAGCTCCACATGTGATGCACCAACCCTTGCCTCCGAAGGCACTGTGCTTTAATAAGGATGTACACACCTCGCATGCTCTCACACAACACACTGCCTGTGTGTTTGCCCCCCCCTCCAGAACCTGCGTCAGATCAATTCCATGATCAGCTGTGGCGAGGGTGGCGCTGCTGCTGCTGCTGCTGCTCGCAAGCGGTCTCTGCCACTGGACGACGGGCCAGACTCCCCAGCCAAGCGACCACGCCCCGACGAGAGTGTGTGGCTCCGCCGGCTGCAGGACGTAGCCAGCGAGCGCGTCGTGCAGTGACGAAGCGCAAAATATTAAAAAGGCAAATGACAACAAAACAACCCCTTGTTTTTTCTGGCTGGAGATGGAAATTGGCGTTGCTCGTTCCGCTTTCTTGACGTAGAGTTTGTGCATCATGCCGGATAGTGTAGTGTATGCGGTGTTGTGTGCCGACAAAGCAGAGATGTGTGTGTGCGTGTAATTGTCCTTACGGCTCAGTTCTCCACATGCCCACCATCAAGAAGTCCTTGGCACTCAATCCGTGAAGGCATGATTAACGTGAACTCATCATAATGCATTGTCAACATTTTGGGCTATTTGCCCTGCTTAAGTTGGGCCTTTCATTAAAAACGCGTCCGATTTAGTTTGTAAATTCATAATTTTCAACATACTGGTGGTGTGCTTGAAAACATTTGTTCAGATGACACCTTGATTTGTTTGGTAGTGTTAGGTGGTGGAGGTTGCGTTGCTGTAATTGACATGCATACGGTCCAACCCAAAAAATACACAAATGCACAGTATACGGCCTGAAAGTACATTCTGCCTAATGTACATGTAATAGAACAATTAATTTTGCCAAACGTCAATGAAAGCTGTGTACACTGCAACCCTTTTAATTAACTTTGGCGCTACCAGCATTGCCGCTTTCAGCTGTTGAGTTTGAATTACTACATAGTGTTTTAACTACCACCTTAATTTTAACAATTATTGCTGCCTTAGCCTCCCCCAGTTAAAACATAAAACTAAACTTGTGACATTGATTACAGCAGTATCTCTCCCGTAACAATGGACACCATGACAACATTTTCAACAGTTACCCTTATTTTTAATTGTTACAGTAGCTCGAACAATTACATATGAAGGCCTACTTGATGGAGACATACTTTGATTACCTTGTTCAGTTAATCACTGTTTATAAATTTTGATTCAAATTTAGATAACATGTTCATACTACGCTGTCAATTAATTTAAATGAGTTGTGCTTAAACATTTGCTTCATATATAGGTGTGGGTGACTCTTACCCTTAAGAAGACACAAAAATATTCAATAAAATGTAGATCACCATCGACCATGAGCTGATGGCTGAAACTATTTTAGAAAATTGCATTTTAATAAGTTTGTAAATCCTTGTGTATACTGTATTGGTTAAATATTCTTAAAGTAAATGCCACTTGTTATATTCTACATTCTCTCTAACTTACGTATTGCGAAAACGTGAATTCCCGCTTTGTGGCGTTTTTTTGTTTGTTTCCGGCAGAGATGGTGTATGTGACTGATAATCATGCTTAACCCACGTACTGTGTGTGCTGGAAGATGTCTTAGCCTTAGACAATGTGTGTACTGTGCTTGTGTTTTGTATCCATGAGCAGGGAAGGAAGCAGTGCAAGCTACGAGTAAAAGCGGGTCTGGGTTTGTGTTAAAGTGAATGTTTTTTGCCACTTTTTTTTTTTAATCTGTGCAGCTTGCATTTAATACACGTATTGGAAGGACTTGAAACAAGTATCCCTTTGTAGATTTGTGTTGTTAAAAAGACGATTTCTACAGCAAATCTGTAAGATATTCACTTTATTTCTGTTGTTTTTGTTTGTGTTATTTGTTGAGAGCATACGATGGTGAAAATGTGAAGTGTATATCTTCAGCCTGCTAGCTCATGACGTGATGTGTAGTAAAGTGAAGAATGCAATTTTTTTACTGGAAGCGGTTTTAAATGATAAAACAAAAGTACATTGTAAATCGGATTGTTAAAATGACTATATCCATCAAGAAAAAGGAGGTATGCATCGTCTACAATTAGTAACATGATAAGAATTAAGACCATTGTTTTGCATGCGTAAAATACTAAACTGGACATTGGGGTGGCATCATGCATATTTGCGTTTAGGGTACATATGGAGTGGACTCGCTGTTTAAAGAAACCTTTTTAAACTATCACGAAGTGTGGGTGCCTTTACTGATGTTGTATAATGGAGTTTTAAAAAGTTGTGTTCATATATGTCCTGTAAATAGCTGAAATGTTATTTACCGGTCTTTCTGGGGGGAAAACAAGTACAGAAAGCAGTGTTTAATGGGAACGTAAAAGCCATTCATTAAATGTAAGCTATGTTGGTTCAGTACGTCTCCTGTAAATCATTTCCTATCGGACTTGCCGTGTGCTCTGACATGTAATTTATGCAACAAACTTTGCATTCGGTCAAGCAGCTTCACAAGTAACTGGAACTGGTCAACCGAAAGACAGGACGGGGCCAGTTCCCATGACAAAACCATCCATCAAACCTGGATATCAAAACATTCCTTCATTTTCATGTCCTAAGGAGTGACACATCTTGCCAACATTTTTCAGGAACCACCTGTTTGGCAGCACACAGCTCTGCGGAACAACATTAACGAGTCACCTTGCAGCAAAAGGTCTGGGCCCACAATCTCTAATTGAATGCTTCCAAATCCATAGCCATCCTGATCGATACTAGACAGTGTCTCACTCGGTCGATGCTTCCTTAAAGCATAACACGTTCCTTCGGAGTGAGCAGGTAGGAACTTGGTTGGACAGCGCATTCGTGCACGACAGACAATCCCTGGTGGACAGTGTGGAAGCTGTTGTTCCTACCTGTATAAGTGTAGTGTGTAGGTTAAACGTTGAGTTTTAAAAGGGCACCACGGGGTGACCAGCCCCGCCCCACCGTCCCACAGCCCCTCCCGACCCAGCCCCACCCTCCACACCCAGCCCCACCCCTCCCACCCCCAACTGAATCACCTTAAAGCTGGGAATGTTGAAAGAAACAAGGCAAAAAGATCGGCTTTTTTCTTTTCAGGCTTCCATTTTATGAATGGAGCCACCCTCCCCCAGTTCCATTTTGTGAATGAAACATTGCCCGTCTCCTCATTGGCCCGAGTCGCGGCGGTGCCCCCCCCCCCACCACTAACCCCCCCCTCTACCAACCCCAACCCACCGCTCCCATTGGTCGGTGCCCCCGAGCCAATGGGAGGGCTCTGGTGGGCCGGGCCATGCACGACAGACAGACAAATAATCCCTGGTGGGCAGTGTGGAACCTGTTATTCCTACCTGTATTAATCGTTGGCTCGACCCAATTTTCCAACAGGTTCTTCGTCGCCACTCGCGATTCCACCTTGTGGTTTGACAGCTACACACCAGATCTTACAACTCACTTCAGGGGCCTGTTATATACATGCACTCGCCACTGAAATCGCCAATCCCCTCGTCTGCAGCATAGTCGGGGCTCGCCTCGACTGCTGCAACTCCGTTCTTGTTAGATCTTTCACAAATAATCTCACCTTGTGTCCTTGGCATCTGTGCATCCTCTGCTGTATTTCGTCACATCCCCTAAGCTCTCTCCATTGGCTTCCCATCGCCAGCAGGGTCAGCTCCAAGATGACCTGCCTGTGCCACTAATCTTCTGCTTTCGGTCATCCACCATATCGCTCTTCACTTCTCTCACTCTTTACCACAGCTCACGACAGAACTCTGAAGTGGGACTCACAACCTCAATACCAGGAACCAGGACCGGCACTACACTCCTGTTACCCTGCAGTACAGCTCAGGGTTAGAACTCTCCGTGGCGTGACTCACCACCTCGACACCAAAGACCAGGATTGTCTCTGCCAGGTGTCACTTTTATGTGGCAGCCACTGCCATCTGCTGCATCCAATCTACACAATTTTAAAATACACTATAAGCCACATTTCTTTCGCCTGGCTGTCGAGCAGCACTGGACTTGGCTCAATGCCTCAGTCACGGTCAGTTATGTCTGAAATATTTGTGCGAGTTATACATTGCATTCTTAACAGTATCAATCGCATACCAGGCACTTCCCCATGTTATCAGAGCATAAACAATGTATGTATCTTAACATCCACAGATACAAGCATTAAAAACAACCCAATAATACATTTGTCACACCATGGGTTTCCACGCACCTCCACCAAATGTGGTTTATTGCATCGTGCAAACGTGGTCTGCACAACATGCGGGATAAACTGGTAAGCGACTTGGCAATAGATTTGCCTCGCATCTTCTCTCGGCTTGCCGTCGATTGTGGCATTGTCTTGATTTACGGTGGGAATGCGATCAGAACAAGTATAACCCGTAAAAACAAAGTTTATCACTATAAATCCTTTATATGCGTGGCGGCTAGAGTCCTCTCGTCCTCTGGCTTGAGATGGCTGCCACCTATGGGTCAGATGATTGCATGGCACCATTAAGCAATTGGTAATTAAATATTATATTTTTGTCCTAAAAAGTGTAAAATTTTGGAAACATTTTTTCACGAACATTAATTGTCACGCACAACGAGTCTGTGTGGAAAATGTCAGCTCTATTGGATCACGGGAAGTGGGTTAAAAAACGACCGAAAGATTTGCACGGTCGTAAGCAAGCAAGCGCGCAAGTGAAATTAATATAAAGGATTTAAAAAGGGCAGAAGGCTGCTTAATTCAATACTCAACACCGTTCAGATGGCAGTACCACAGGGAATGCCTCGCCTTCACTTAAAACAGTTGAATTATTGTGTGCTGGACCAACACTTTCTCTTTAAGATGCTATATTTTATTGGAGCACATTTGCTTACATAACGTTTGATTTCGCAGTATAATTGGACAGCAAGGGATACAAATACACTCAAAACCAATCTTTAAATAGTCCTATACATTCCTTTACCCTGGTTGCAAGGTTCAGATATTTAAAAAGTTAGAAATACCCTCGTCTTTAATCCTTTCGAAATAAGAATTAGGCCCAGGAGTGAGTCACAAAGTGAATTATGAACATTATTATTTTGTGAACACTACAACAGGGTTCCACATAATGAAATAGCTTTACGATCAATACAAAAGTATGTAGTCGTACATCCATTGATAATTGAAGAGTTTGTTATTCACTATCTTCCACTTTATAAAAACGTCTTCAGGAACGTTTTTTAAAATGTTATTCTTATCAAGCCACATGGTATACAGCACCGTCTGCAACTCTCACCCACTCTGTGTCCTCTATGTGCTGTGAAGAAGCGCCATTGCCCATAGCGTCACCTATTAACGTATATATTTTACTGGTAGGAACCTCCTGGTTACACCAGCCCACAGGGGATTATTGTGTCCGTCCGTCCGTCGTGCATCCAAAAATGGGAGGGGTGGGGCTGGGTGGAGAGGGGAGGGTGGGGAGGGCTGGGTGGGGAGGGTGGGGAGGGGCTGGGTGGGGAGGGGCTGGTCACCCCGTGGTGCCCTTATAAAACTCAACGTTTAACCTACTCACGCCGGCTTATGCCCGCCGTCACAGTCGGGCATATTTGCGGAATACACCACGCCGTCGTTGACTCTGGCCATTGACCGAGCAACCCAACGTTCCTACCAGCTCCCTCCACAGGAATGTGTTCCCTATTAAGGCGGTGCTATTAATGAACGTGTAGTACTAATCGCATATCTGCATTTCCCATAAATATGCTAAATTCCTCTTGATATGCAAATTATTTTGTCAAAGCGCTCTTCGCCCCTCCATCCCAGCATCAATAGTCGCTCCAAGCCTGGGGCGTACCATTCAGACTCTGTCTACTTGACAGACCTGTTCTCCACCTGAAGACGGCTGCTTGCGTTGTGGCCGAAACGTCGTGAGAATTATTTTATTATGTTTTATTTTTATTATTTTCCTTCTACGTGACTTTACCGAAAGAACCAAGAAGTTGGAGGAAAGTGTTTTTAAAACACTTTAAGAGACATCATTTTAAATTAACTATCCACAGACATCGCATCGATACTTTTCAGAACGTTCTTCCTGGAGATATTTGACCGGTTCAACCTTGAACAGAATTTTATGTGGGAAGAAATTTGAGTGCCCCGATAAAATCTCTGTTGAACTTTAATACTCATTATTTATTGAAAACATGTGCTCATCATTCAGCTTATAACTTGAACCAAAAGTAGTACAAGAGTGAGCAAATACAAAAATATTATTTTTATTTTAATAAAAATATTCACAATGTTATGTTGCTGTAGCCTACTTGCACAATATACGTTATGTTCAGAATCCTGACATTGGCCATGCCCTTTGTAGTATTGTGTTGACATTTCTTGACCGCAAGTGATGCAATAGTCGCAGCGACGACGTACAACCTCGATCCTCTCTCTATCGCTGTTCAAGCATTATCCAGCCCATGTGTGTTTTGCGAAAAAAAAGATATAAACCGATGGTGGTGGTTTCAGCAAGATTGACTTGCACAAGTGCCTTTAAACGGTCAAGTTGTTATGATCGCAGAGCAAGGTCAACAATCGACACCAATAAATCTGAGAAACTGGTGTGCGGGCGGTAAGAGTTGTGGCTGATGCCACTTGTGATAATTAGGTCACCAGAGGTCATTGATAGCGGTCATAATTCATTGTGTGCAGTCATCGCAAGGACCATAACAATCTTACGCAAGAGCAGTTCTTGGAAACCCAGTCCCAGTTCATGTTTTGTTATGTACGCACTGTATGCTGAACTTCTTTCGCACCGTACGTAACCAACCATGCTTATCGGAGGTGCAGTTGGTTTACATTGTTTGTGTATCCACTATGCATAGAGCCCCCACGCGACTTTCGCCCTGAACCAGCCTCTGTTGTATATTTATGAGTCCCTTCGCCAATGGATATTCTCTACCCATACCGGGGCTGTTATGTATATATATAATTCATACTTTTTTTATCAACGAGGTACCTGCCATGCTTTAAAACAACTTTGCCCACTGGCTCGGCAGATGCAATCTGAATGGGTCGCTCAACCCAACTGGGGTGTTCCAGCAGCTTTGGTTTGTGGAAATGCCATTGGTTCACTTCCATATTGTCCCAGATGGGGGCGGTGGTGGTTGCTTTGCTGATGTGGTTCTGCAACGGTGGTGGGCAGGCACAGCGTGCGAAGGGACTCCAGTTTTCAGTCATGGTCAAAACTGCCAGCAGGCAATAGCTGGTTACCTTCCCGTGATGTTTTGGTATGTGATGTCAAGCTAGGATAGTGGACATTAAGGAATGCTTAATAACGAATTAAAGCAAAAGTGGGTCTGGGCAAGGTACGTCACCAGAAGGGTGGCCAGTGGCCCACGTGTACGACGGAGTGGCAGCGACAGCAGAGAGCGGT